TTAATAGACTCCCCTTTTAAAGCTGAATTGAATGGTGGTAAGTTTTTTAAAATCCAATGTGTGGATCACATAATATTAACTTTTGAGTATAGATGATCCGCACTGTAATAAAAAATATCTACAACTCTAGTGGCATAATTCGAAAATTCGCTGTGCCAAAATGTAAAATTGTAAAAATTTTTCAACAACAAATGTCTTACTAAATAAAGTAACAAAATTTCCTTTAAAAGAAAGATCTTCAGTTTTTTTAAAATCAACGATAGCAAAAAAATTTCAAAAAGATGTCAAATAATTTTATAAATTATTATGAATTGCTTAATTTACCATGTTTTTCTACAGCAGAGAAAATCAAACAACAATACCATAAACTTTTATTAGTTGTAAGTATAAAATTATAACACTTGATTTATGATGTTAATAATAAATAATAACTTTGATAATATTAATATTACACAGTATCATCCAGATAAAAAACAGATTCAACCAACAAATAATAATAGTAGTAGTAGTAGTAGCGATAGCAGTAATGACGATAAATTAGAAATTACTAGAATAATTGAGGCATATCAATATTTAATGGATTCAGAATTAAAAAATAAATATGATAAAGAGTTAAAGGGTAATTTATTGATTAATTAAACAATGATAACTTTGTTAATAATATTATTAATTCTTTATTATTATTTTTTCCCAAGATCATTTTAATAAAACAGAAGTTTACAATTCTGAAGTAGATTTGGATGACATGTTTTATGATGAAGGTAATGTGAAATGAATGAATGAATGAATGAAATTATATTTACAATTAATTATATTTACAATTATATTTTTATCTTCTAATTTAGAAAATAAATCCTATTCAACAAAATGTAGATGCAATGGACTTTATGTTATTAGTGAAGACGATCTAGAGAATAGTATAAATATAACCCAATGTACAAATTGTTCATTAAAAATTTTAGTGTTATATGAAATAATTAATGAATAAAAATTCAAATATAGTTTTTAGTGTATTTTGACCTTTGACATCTGATCCTTTTTTTACGTCTTTCCACTTCTCACCCTCCGATATTTTTATTTTTCCAATTTAATATTTTTTATTTTTGCATTTGGATTTTTTTTAATTGCTTGCAAATAAAATTTGGGGTCATTTTTTTTAGAATTGAGGGGCAATACTTTTTAGAAAAAAATTTTTTTTTTGCTACTTTCGCATTTTTAATCTACAATTCAAAAAATTATGATGGATTCTTTAAAACGAGGAGTTAAACGGAAAAAAGTTTACACAATGAGCGAAGTAAGTAATAGTATTTATTTATGTTTACTTACACGCATACCCTAACAATACTAACAATATTAAACAACAAACAATAATAAATAGCCTGAGCAAGATTCCAAAAAACAAAAGAAGAAACCTATAAACACTTCTATCTATATCAGTAATTTACCAGTTGATGTCACTGAAAATGAATTGGCAGAAGCTTGTTCAAAGTATGGCGTATTAATGGTAGATCTGGCTACTGGTAATTATCATAATTACATTATAGATCTTTGGAACAATTTTGGAAGTATTATTTAAACAGTTTATAACTTATTAACTATATATATGTGTGTGTATACATACATATGTATGTTTATATAGGTGAACCTAAGATTAAACTTTATAAGGATGATCAAGGTCATCTTAAAGGAGATGCACTTGTAACTTATTTGAAAGAAGAGTCTGTCACACTAGCATGTCAATTGTTAGATGAAACTATACTGAGACCCGAAGAACCTTATAAAATACGTGTTCAAAAAGTAAGATATATATATATATGTATGTATGTATGTATATATATACGCGTAATTATTTTTTTCATTCTTGGTTTGTTGTGTTTAGGCTGAATTTAAAGAAAAAGATCCTAAAATATTAGAAAGTAGTCAAAGTAATTCCAAAAAAGTTGATAAATATGAAGTAAAGAAAAAACTTCGTCAACTTGAAAAGTATGAATTATTTTACTTAAAGAAAGTAAAAAAAAACATATCTCTATATTATTTAAAGAAAAAAAAAATGGTTTGTTAATTATTATTATTGTTTTTTTTTTGTTATATTATATATTTTATAGGAAATTAGATTGGAATGAAACTGAACCTGGAAAAAGAGCAGAACGTTATAATAAGATAGCAATCTTGAAACATATGTTTACCATAGAAGAATTGGAGGTAAATATGATATGATCATCATCATTATCATTATCATTATCATCATCATTATAATAATAATTCTTATGATTTAAAGTCTAATAAAACGATTAATAGATATATATGTATATATATGTATGTATATATATATATAATAATAACATTTATTTTAATATATTAGAATGATGTTGGTTCAATTTTAGATTTAAAGGAAGACATTCGCAATGAGTGTGAGAAATTAGGAGAAGTAACGAACGTTGTATTGTATGATGTAAGTTTTCTTGGGGATGAATGAATGGATGAATGGGTTTATCGATCAGTTAATCAATCGAACATTTATTTTTAACAGAAAGAACCCGAAGGAATTGTTTCAGTAAAATTTAAAGATCAAATTAGTGCTGAAGCATGCGTACTGGTATTTAATATTAGCAATTATAATTTTTATGGTCATTGTAGCTACGACTAATTGTGATAATCTCTATTATTATTATTATTATTATCTTTATTATTATAATAAAATAATACAGAAAATGAATGGGCGATTTTTTGCTGGTCGTCGTGTCGAGGCAGAAATATTTGATGGAAAACAAAAGTATCAAAAAACTGGTTCGAAATCCAATGAAACAGACGAAGAAGAAGCTACCAGATTAGAAAAATATGCTAAATGGTTGGAGGAACAAAATACTGGCACTGCTAGTGCCAAGACCAATACCATTAATGTGGATGTTGGCAGTGATGATCTTGGCGCTAGTGGTTCCTCTAGTGTTAGTAATCATAACAATCACAATGCTGATAGTGATGATGGTATGAATGTTAGTAGTATTAGTATTAGTAATAATGATGTCAATAATGATGATGATAAAGAGTTGGTGAATGATTGAAAAAAAAAAGATTTGATGATTAATTATTATTATTATTATTATTATTATTATTATTATTATTATTATGACTATCATAAAAAAAAATTTATATATATACAAAATATTAAATATATACAAAATAAGAGTTCTTTTAACTATTTTTTGTTTAAAATGTAATAGTAAAGGGGGCATACTAGACAAAATGAACATTATGTCACAAAGAAATTTCAGGTATCAATTTAGTGCGCCCGTTTTCTGCCACATTACAAAAATATAATGATTATACTGCATAATATTTCTTGAAAAGATTGCCCATAACTTCCACGGATTTTATTGATAAAGTGCTTCCTAGTTTTGATGCCCTAATAATGAATATTATACGCGAGTACTTGCTACTTTCCAATAATGGATCATAGTTCTCATTGTTTTATGAAATGTAAAAATAAATTAAATTAATAAAAATATAACCTACAAAAAATATCTGTACCCGCAATTTTATTAGGTTGGCGATTGAGCTAAATTATAGTGAATAAAATATCAAAAAAGTATAATTAAAACAAATACTCTTTTGAAAAGGCTGACCAGAAACAAAAGGATAAAGGTCTGTCTGATCTACTCGAGAATTTTCTGCAAAAGGATCATAATTGCAAGTTTAGTAAGCAAGGTAAAAGCCGACATAATGAGAGAGTAAAATTGTTCTTGTCTGTGAGCATTGGACAATAGAGAGTCAGAAACTCCTGATAGATTGAAAAGGACACCCCAAGGAATTGAGTCTTAAAGAGAAGAATTCAAGCTTGGAAGGATAAAAAAAAATGTCAACTTTATTAAATTGCTCCTATCACCCCGAAGGATAAAATAGCATAAACTTCATCAAACATAAGAGCAAATAATCTAGTGAAAGAGAATCCTGAACAAAATACAAAGACAACAACCGAGAATAATTTGGTTAACGCTTTAAGAAGCTTCAGAAATCAAAATTTACTTCAGGTTGTGATAGAGAACAAAGATAAGCAATCTTGTTTCAAAACAAAGTAAGATATCTTTCGCGTAGAGCTTGATTAATTTATTAATGCACGAAAACATCCTAATTGTTTACATGGCAAGTTCGCAAGGACAGATTGATAATCTTAATAACACTATACTATTTGTCGACAATCCCAAGAACTTGCCTCGAAAAATCAGACTAAACAATCAGCAATAACCGAGAAAGATATCTTAATCAATCGACCTCAACAAAGATTGAAAGAGGAATTGAGAGCTGAAAAATTGACCACCAATCACTCCTACATATAATGGAGAGAAGCTATTTATATAAATAAATAAATTTTTCAGAAAAGAAACTTACCAAGTAGAATCAAGCAACAGGAATTTAGAAATTAAACAACTCAAGCTCAATCATTAGTCAAAGAAAAACCTCGAGTAATAATTCAGAAATACCATCAAAGTTAATATAGTTGGCTCAGTCTAAAGACCTCCTAAATTTTGTGCAAATTTTAAAAGTATAAAAGTCATTTTCTGTCCTACCTTTTAAAAAAATAGTTCTATTAGTTGATGGAATAGGTGTAATAGAGAAAAAAATTATTTGTCTATTCTTTTTTAAATCATGTATATACTTATGCGCTAGGATCATTGCTAAATTTAGACAAGACTCGACAATCACATCTAAATTTGGCCGGAAGAAAATGTTTGAAGTGCAAACAATAATGGAAGATTATTATAATGTCAACGTTTTAAATGAATGAATTGTTTTTTTTTTAAATTTTTTACCAAATGTATTTTTATTATCATCATTATTATTTGCATTCATATTATTTAAAAATAAAATTATTTACGCAACATGTATCACATGATTTAATCAAAAATTCGATTTTTTATGGATATTAATATCTCGGTATTACGGATGACTCGGTATAGCGGATAAATTTCCTGGAACAAACATATCCGTTATACCGAGACTCACTGTGTATTAGGAAATATCCATATTCAAATATTGAAATAATCCATTTTTTATTAATATCATTCATTCATTCTACACCATAATAAGTACGATAAAGATCCACAACCTTTTTCCCTCTTGTTTTTGCTAAATCTT